CATTCAATCCTTGTTTCTTTTGCTCTCTGGGGATTTTTTTTCCATTTAGATTTCTATAGAATGCGAACGATACAGAATCTTTATGAATCATCAACATTTAAATGAATGTATTTTCTAAAGGTCGACTCTCTCTTGCACTTGAGGAGTGTTATTGGTGGGATTGTTTTTTCTAGTGCCAAGTCCCTTCAAGGAGCGCTAGAAGAAATGGGCACTGAGAAGTGAAGGAGAAAAAAAAATAAATTAAAACAAGGAGGATTCTGGGTCTGATACATGCTACTTGCATGGTTTTGCGAGAGTAGGACACAATTGTTTCTGGTGTTGAAGGATCTTGAAGGGGAAACCTGAGCCAGATTAAGTCCACCAAATGGACTCTTATAGCTGAAACTCCCTTCAAGCTGGGCCTTGTCACTCTTGCTTTGAAGCTAGCTCCAGCAGGCTGTGGTGGCCAGGGAACAGCGGCCGTGGAAGGAGGAGCAGACTTGAACAGCCAGCCACCTCCCTCCCCAGAGGTCTCACTCTCAAGCTCACCCCTTTATCTTTGCTGCCCGAACTTTCTACCTTCTTCTCCCCAGAGCTTCCTGACTCCTCTCCCATAAACTCTTGTATCTTTCCTCTCTCCTCACTGGCTCAGTGCTTTTCTGTTCACATCAGGCTAACCTTCATTCTTCTTTTGAGATTTTGATTTTCTTTTTCACCTGCATCCTTTACAAAAAAAGAGTATCTGACTGAAGAGTCGTCATGACCGAAAACACCCTCTGCTACCCCCCAAACCAAACAAACTTTAACATTTTATTTTCTGGGGGTAAAGGAATGAAGAGGCTCTGAAGGCTTAGGTGTTAACATTTTCTGAGGCTAACACATAACCTTTGGTAATCAATTACTTAGTGCAAGAGTAAATGGGGATCAGGTCACCTTATGTGTTAAGTATTGTGTCTAAATAAAAACACTGGGATGTTTTCTTGCAACATGCCTGGCAATTAATTTCATCCAGGCTCCTATGAGCGCAATCACTGAGCAATGGTACTAGTAACTACAAAGGCTTTCTTCCCAGAAACTTAGAGCACCATGTCTACAAAACGGTATTTTAATGGCTCAGTTTAATCATCAGATTCAATTTTTAGCACATATTTATTCCTTCTCCCCCATTTGACCTTCTTGCTCTTCTTTACATATGACTATTTTGCCCTCGTGGGGCCCTTGCACTTGTGCTCACTCCCTTCCTTATGCAGGTCCCTGCCCAGGTTTCAACTCTAGGGCATGTTCTCCAGGGCCCTGTGGAGTGTCCTGTCCAGCTCTACCTTCTGCATAGCTCTTAGGACTGCTAGAAAGTCTTAGCTTAGGGGTCCAGTAAAACAAGAACCTGAAGCAAAGTTGTATTTGAATGCATGATTGGGAGGGACCATCCCAGGAAGAAAGGGCAAGGAAGCAGGGAATGAGGGGGAACAAATATTTAATGATGCATTAGGAAGCTGACGAGTGCTGGTGGCTCAGCTCCTACTCATCTGCTGGTTCCTTCCCACTCTGTCTCTTAAGGATCCGTGTTCCTTCCTTGGGCTGCTAATTCCCTTGCATTTCTTGTTGTACTACTGGTCCACTGGGACAGCAACCAGCAAAGCCACTCTGCACTGGAGCATAGGAACTCCTATAGTTCCTCCACCTGTGAGGGGTGAGGTAGAAGCTGGGAGTTTACTATCAAGAGGACTGTGGGAGTTGGGGCTGCTCCAGGGATAGTCCTGGGGGGCAGCAAGTGGATGGGGGACATGCAGAAACTGGGTCTAGTATTCTGATATTGTCTACTTACATATTTATTATCATCTCCCTCATTTGGAAGCACAGAGATTGTTTGTTTTGTTCAGTGTTCACTCTACCCATAATTGTAAGAACAATGTGTGGCCTATCGTAGACAATAAATATCTGTTGAATGAATTTATTGAGACCCTATGTGTCAGGGATTATTACAGGTGCTAGAAGAGATGGACATTGCCACCATCTCACAGATGGAAAAATTAAAAAGTAAAGTGACTTTCTTGAAAGTACCTACATCAATCTGGTAGGACTGAAGAAACTTTGAGATTACATATGATTTGAGATTTACATATGACTATGGACAACCATGAAGCCTCCAATATGTAATGAACTCTGTAAGGCTTTTCATTACAATTTAATTGAAGCTAATTTTCAAAATGAGAGCAGGTTCTAGATTTCTAGATTCCTGGCTTTTAGTTCACAAGAAACAGTGTGTTCCAGAAAGTAAGTGCTCTTGATTTCACCTGTACTTTTGTAAGGAATGGGCCTTTCCAAAAAAGCAAACCAAACAAAAACAACAATAACTGACTTCCTTTGTGAGCATTTGGTCTCTCTGTACTTAATTTTCCTGATGCAGAAAGTGGGCACAGACCCATGGAACCTACCCAATGGATGCCCAGAAAAACAGCATTGATTGCATTAATTCGCTGTGGCTGCCACAACGAAGTACCATAGACTGAGTAATTTAAACAACAGAAATTTATTTTCTCACAATTCTAGAGGCCAATGAGTCAGAGATTGAGGTATCCAAATGGATGGTTTCTTCTGAGCCCTCTCTCCTTTGGTCTGTAGTGGCCATCTTCTCCCTGTGTCTTCATCTGGTCCCTCTCTACCTGTTTATGCCCTATCGTCTTCTTCTTGTGAGGACTCTAGTCATATTGGATGAAGGTCCAATGCCAGGACTTCATTTTAACTTAATTATCTCTTTAAAGACCCTATTCCAGTTATACAGTCAAAACTAAGATACTGGCAATTAAGACTTCATGAGTTGTGTGGGGAGTGATCTTGGGGAGAGACATATTTCAGCCCAGAACACTAACCCTAAAGAATTTGATCTTACAAACATGGAGTCGTGTCCAGGCTGATTTTAAAAGGCTAATGGTGTAAGTATTGTCACTGGGCAGCAATTACTCCATTCCCTGCTGCCCCCTGCCTTCTGTGGCTGCCTCTTCCTGCTCTTTTTCTTGGTCCTAGAATGAGATCAACAAGGCAGTCAGAGTAGGTCACAGAAATATCCAGAAATTCAGATTTCTTGCTGAGTGAATGAAAGGAATCATCATCCAAGTGTCTTTGTTTAAATTACCATGTTTATTTATGTCAACACAAAATACAACAACTTACAAAACAACCATTTTATCTTCATGTAACATAACTCTTCAATGAATAGAAGTACTACTGTTAATGTTTTGGCCTTTTCAAGGTCCTGCCTTGGGTCAAAACCACATTTAAAGAATGAGCAGATTCTTCCCTAATACACACACAAAGGAAACTTCTATTTTCTAAAAAAATCTCATTTCAGTAATTGTACAAAACAGCACAAGCAGTCTCATGTACAAGGGACTGCTACCACTGTGTCACTGGCAGCGCCACTGCAGGTTGCTCTAGACGTCCCCATCAATAACGGAGTGGCACATCAGTCCTTCAGATGTCCAAGGAGATTGTTTAGTAATCCTTCTCATAGAGCCCAGTCCTCCCTAAATGTATGATTTACCTGAGTTGTTTAAAAACCGGGATTTGGGGGGGTCTCCAAGTGATCAAATGTACACACATCAATCTGCTAGGACTGAAGAAACTTGGAGATTACACTGGCAATTCAATGGACAATCATGAAGCCTCCACTATGTAAGGAACTCTATAAGACTTCTCATTACAATTTAATCAAAGCTAATAAACATTGCACAAAAGTACAATTCACCTGGATTCCAGTGCTGTGACTGCTATTTGTTTAGTACATTTCAAACAAATGTTATTGCTTAACTAATACAACGTTTCTATCATTTTAACAACAAAAGAGGCAGTCCCATGCAGTGGAAAGAGGAAATGCCTTGGAGTAAAAAGATGTGAATTCTGATCCCAGTTCTTCTACTCATCCTCTGAGCCTTTGTTTCCTTGCAAGGATCAAATGAGATGAAAGTGCTTTCTGACACAGCAGAAACCATAAGGAAAAACATCCTACAGTGGCCATCTCGCCAATCAACTAATGGACCCCTAATTGTCCACGTGTATTTTGTAAGTAAAATCTTACTTCTTAAATGTGTGGTGTGCATCAACCACACGTAGCTGAAATGTGCACGTTGGGTTATGCAGATGGGAAAAGAAAGTAGATTTAAAAATCTGCAATTCATGAGGGAGTTGTGTACTCTCCATGTGCTTGATTTACAGCCATTTAAACATTTGTTCTGTTTACCCCATGTTCCTTTTATATTTCTGGAACTCTCTTTGAATAAGCCAACCATTTAAGGTAATTTTTCAAAAAGAAATAAAAACTCTCATGTGACAATTACAGGTTTAGAAGACTCTGACACTGAGTAAGATGATTGAGAAATAAGGGAGAAGTAACAGTTTGAAAACTCAAGGACAAGAAGGAAACTGAGCATAGATTATTTTCCAGGTAATTTAAAAATAAGCTAAATGGCAGGGTTATTATTTTTGGTTTTACTAGTGACTTAATTTATAAATTACTTCCTTCTCATTTGTAAAGCAAAGTGTGTGTTTGTGTACCTGACTTACAGGTGCATACAAATTCACAGAAATGATCAATCTTACAATTTGGGATATCTGTGGAAGAAATGCATCCTTTCAACTGAAGTGAATTCGGAATCTCAATTCTCTTGGTTTAAAATAAATCCTTCTTTAAGATGGATTTACTGCAAGTTTAGAATAACTGCAAGTGTGGGTACACAATACAAGCGTATGGACTTTGTAACTTTGCTGGGACAAAGACTTTAGGTAGCTGTACTCCTGAAACAAAAGCGATTCTAATTTTCAACATTTTTCAAATGCAAATCAGGCCCCCATGAATCATTTTGATGATTATTTGAAGCATTAATGCAACAGAGTTAGTATTCCTCAAATGATCCCCAAAGTCACCTCTATGCTAAGGAAATTCCTCTTCTTGATTACTTTGAAACTGTCAACATAGTGTCTCACCTTCATACAGAGAATGACTGATCTCCAAATGACCTATTATTATCTTAGGCCAACCTCTTCTTGAAGCAACAGAGAAAGGAAAATAAAATAGTGCATTAACATTTCACATCAGTGAAGCCAACTTTTCCCACGCGTCAAGTGGTTCTAGCCTTCTGTGGTGAGATCCACTTTTTGTTTTTCCCTGTGTTTATAGGTTACATTTTTAAAAGTACTAGTGGAGCCTCTGTACAGTGGATTTGTTCCCTAAAAGAAAAAAAAGTTCAGATGAAAGTCTGCATACTTTGTTATGACACTATTTTAATATTCCTAGGTATTTTTATTATAGTTCAAATTGGAAGATGAGAGTCAATATCAATCTTGGAAGCCATTGGAATAATTTTGATTCATTTGATATTTCATACTCTTAGCATTTTCAAATTTATGGCAGTGCCACTGCAGGTTGCTCTATATCTTTGCTTTTTTTCTAATAGGTGAAACTAGTCCCACATGGGTATTCTGTGTGTGTAAGGGGAGGGGGGGTTCAGTGTGTGTGTGACCCAGGGACTCGAGCATGCTAGGCAAGTGCTTGACTGCTGAGCTATACCCCCAGCCCTCCACATGGGCATTCTAAAAATCTTACCCTCATTGGAAACACACTGATTTATGGATAGAAAACATGCTTACATGTCCTGTTGCCTATTTTCCCAGCACTGAAAACAGTGTCCAGCTGATATTAGGGACTCAATATGCATTGAAAGGGCAGAACAAACACACATAGGTGAACCAAAAGTGAGATGTAAGGTAAAGTGAACAGTGGGAAAAGTGAAACTGAAAGAAACATAACACATATGAATGGCATAGTATCTGTCTTGAAGCTGCTGTTGGTGAGTTATCAGACAGGGCGTGATAACGTTGTGTAAATGAGATCAAAACTGAGAAGGAGGAGCAGCTAGCTGCTTGGAAGGAGCACAGACAGATCCCCTGGACAGCTAACACTTGCTCTGGAAAGCAGAAGAACTTTCTGGCATATGCTTACTAGACAAAACTGTGTGTAAAGCAGATGACTGCAAGTGACTGGTATGTAAAACCTGGGTTCACAAATGAGTGGTGGTCTGAAGGCAGACAGCACAAAATGGCTTGGCCCCTGGGGCCATTGGGAGATTGAGAGTTGATGCCCAGAGAACACAGCTGTGCTGTTGAGGCTGAAGATGTGTTTGCATCAGTGGTGCTGTAGCCAGAGGATAAGAGGACAAAGCCTATTGAGCTGTCCTAGGCAGGAGAGCAAGGGATCTCTGTGAGGTACAGTGTCTTCTCTCCTAATTTCCAAGGTTGACACACAGGCTTTGGCATCAGACAGTCTGTGTTCAAACCCAGCCTACCAGGTGACTTTACTTAAGCAACCCTAGGCCTTGATGTGCTCATCTATTAAAGAGGGATTAACAAATTCCCTACTCTATCCGTGAGATAAGATCCCATTGCACAGTGTCTAGAACGTACTAACTGTTCAATGAATGCTGCCTCTTTTTATTAGTTCTTACTTATAACTTTTCTTCAAATTTGAAAGTTTCTTTTCTTTTAGATCCTGAAGAAAGTTATAAAGATATTTTCTGATAGGGCTTTGGAAGTCTTAACATTTCCAAACCCATATGTGTGAAGTCCAGATAATATCTCTGAGTTACGTTGGTCACTTTATTCCGTGAATTGTAGAGATAGTCATATTTTGTAGACATAAATTTTAAAAAAAGAAGAAGATTGTATTTGCTATCTCAGAACATTTCTTTTCTTTTTTCCCAGTACCAGGGATTGAACTCAGGAGCACTCAACCACTGAGCCACATGCCCAGCCCTATTTTGTGTTTTATTTAGAATCAGGGTCTCACTGAGTTGCTAAGCAGCTCGAAATTGCTGAGGCTGACTTTGAACTTGCCATCCTCCTGCCTCAGCCTCCTGAGCTGCTGGGATTACAGGATGTGCCACTGTGCAGGACTATTTCAGAACATTCTTTCAGCTCTCAGAAGAACTGAGCAAAACAAAAACATTCCCTGACGTCTTCTACACGTTGCCTTTGGACTTGCTACAGGGCCTTCTTTGTGAGCAGTAGTCAGACCCATACCCAGTGGCTCAACCTCTGACACAGTGCCTTTGGAGATAGATGCTATCTCTCTGTTGAGGGCAAATAGGAAAAGGTAGCTTGGCTGCTGGTGGATGAGGGTGAAGGTCAGGTTGCTGTATTGTTCCTACTTCTAAGCTCAGCCTGGATAATTCTGAAGGATCTCTAGTCCTTATTCCTCAAAACCTTGGAATTTTTGACGGTGAATGGCAGATTGATGATGGTAGAGTCTCATTTGGAAACAAAAATCATGCATGGAATTCTTTGAAGTTTAGAACACTAGTATCTACTTGGTTACAGAAGAACAAAGGACCTGGCTAAAGAGGCAAGGTAGAAAACCTAAGAGGTGCAGGCTGGAAATGAAGGGCAGAGCCTCTGCTGAAGGAAGGAAACTTAATGAATAGAAAAGGGATTCTGGAAGAATAAATAGACTATGAGCAGGGCCAGACCTTCGTAGGGCCAAGCGCTTGTTTGTAGGTCCTACCCCATATCATCTTGAACATATTAAAATGCATCCACATTCCACATTAACTAGATTTTTTTTGTGCTATAAAGGTGGGGGGGATTTGAATTGCAATTGATGGAATAATGTTATTTTGTAGATATTTAGTTGAATGTTTAATTTTGTGCAGTTTTTATTCTGTATTTTAAAACAACATCAACAACAAACATTTAGGTCTGTGATATTTTTTGGGGGGTTGATGATGGGTAAAGCGGACTCCATTGCTGGAGGAGGTTGAGGAGGAAGTATAAAGGTGGAGCACGAGCAAGTCCCTGTTGCAGTCAGAGGTGTGTATAATGGGGTGGTTTTTGACCTCAGCTGATGCTCAGAGCCCAGGAGAATGGGTGTAAGTAGGGGCATCAGCACCAGATGTGCCTGCATTTGTGCTGTGCAGGCTGCAGTGGCCCTGCCTGGAGTTCCAACTGAAATGTAGACTTGGGTCCTCCCCATTTCGGGAGAGTCTCCACTCCATCGTTTAGACAGTTTTCCCCTAATCATCTGGAGTGACCAGGCTGATTTTCCCCCAAGGAATATTGGGGTTCTAATTTAGGCTGTGTATTCTGCAAAAGCAATGGCACATTTTTTTCAAGCTTGGAAAAAAGTGGTAATAAGAAAATTCTGTCATGACCCACAGCTTCCTTAATGATCGCCTAACTGCCAAAAGCAGACCTGATTTGCTTAGCACAGTGCAAAATCAATCCATGACTGCAAGAAATGTCAGCCTGAACATTTTTTTGCCTCAAGTTAATGACTTGTCATCCTAGAAAAAAATGTCTCATCAAAGATGAATTTAAATATCTTCCATTTGTGTTTTCATAAAGAATATGCAAGGGGGCTTATAAGTATAATAAAAAGGTAACCTTTCTTTATAGCTATGATAAAAAGTTTCAGGAGGCAAGAGTGAAGACTTTCCTGTCCTAACTTCTGTCACCTTAAGAGTCCAATGGGGCCCTATAGGTACAGGAGACCCTACTGACCCTTTTGTCCCCCGGTTTTAAAGATCAGTCGAATTCTTGGGGAAAAAAATAGGTTTTATATAAAAACTGAATTAAATTGAAGATCTTTAAATGTATGCACTGAGCAACACTAATTTTTTTTCTAGGAGGATATATTAGAGAAATTTGAACTGAATTATTTGAATTAAACCTCTTTTGCATCCAAGTGAATAATTATTTCCATCATTATCTAGTCAGGAACATCACACATTTGTTATTCAAGGAAACTCGACAGAACAAGGGAATAATATTTTTCATTTATGTTTTTATCTGTTTAATGCATGTTTTTGTCCCATTTTAGTTGAAGAAACAGCAAAAATTTGGTATTTGAATTGCAGTCATGTTCTACATCCAGAGGGAGAACAATTTATGTTTTGGGGGAAATTAACTGTTAATTAAAATGTTATTTTAAAGATATTAATCATTTGCCAGCACTCATGCCTTGGTATAAGAACATTAAAACATGCTGGTTGGTATATAGGCATCATATAAGTGCCCAAATGCCTGTTTGTAAAACACTTTCTTGTTATTTCCAGGAGGATCAACAAAAGGTTGTGTTTGGAAGAACAACTAATGATTAGGGTTCCACCTGCAGCTATGGTTTGGGAAGCCCCTTAATCGTTCTCAGCTTCAGTTTACATATCTTCAAAATGGGGACACCAAGACTACTTTACAGGGCTGATAGTTGTCCAACTATTTGCTGCTATTGCTCTTTGTGCTGACTTATCCACATTGTTTTGCCTGCTCACCCTTCTGACCATTGCCAGGCATTTACTTGGCAGTTGGTGAAAGTTAAGATTGATATCTGTGGCCATTGTATCAGGCAAAGTTAACTATCCCACAACTTTGGCCTCATTATCACTATGTTCTAAGTCACCAAGATAAACCATCAGGTCACGTTTTACATTGTTAGGGATGGATCAATTATTCCATAGTTTACTCTCCTGAAGGGTTTTGTTCAGTTGTGAAAAATCCATACATATGCCAAGAGGAAAGTTATTTAACAAACCTCCAAAGACCCATTACCAGATCCAACAGTTATCAAGATTTTGCCCAAACTACTTTTACTATCTCTCCCTCCCACCCTCTCTTTAGGCTGAATTATTTTGAAACAGATCCCAGCCTTCATTCCCTTTCGCCCTTGTATACTTCAGTTTGCATCTCTAAAAAGGACGGATGTTTTCTAGTAAAGACATCATGCCTAATGGTATTTGATCAAGTTAAGCATATTTCCTTGCTATTATTCTAATATCTAGTGTGTATTTATCTTTTTCCCAGTTGTTTTAAAATATATTTTTATAGTTGGACTGTGCAAATCAGGATCCAAAGAAGATCCATACATCACATTTGGTTACTGTATCCAAAGGCATTTTTAATGGGAAGATAAAGTAGATAAAAATTTTCATTGTCCTTGGTCCTGCATCATATATTATGATTAGTTTAAAATATAACTCCTAAAATATAGATATCCCTTATTGAGATAAAATTATGCAAAAGGGAAAATTCTGTTTGCTTTAGAAATTGAAAATATTGTATAGGCTCAGAGAAAACAGTGTTAACATCAATTTATTTGGGCAGATGAGCCCAAAGGAGCATTGTGTTTGCCTGTATTTCTCCAGTGATGTCACTGTTTTGAGACTCAGCAATGTAAGATAATTGCTATTAGATAGCTAGACACACCATTAGAGATAGAGAGATTAAATTAAAACCATGAAATTGTTTCTAGGGGTCTCTAGAAATGTAATTATCCTCCTGTGGAATAGAAACACATAAAATTGTAGTCCTGTTTTCTGTTTGCCTATTGTGAAGAGAAGACACAAATTATGTCTATTGAGTACATATATTTGAAGGTTGATACTTTTTTTTTCAGGTAGCTGCTTAAAATTTATGTTATTCAGAAAAACTGCCTGGTGTTTAAAAAGTCTTCTCAACTTTGCTTTGTAACCTATTATATGAGTAACAAGTATTTCCGTGAAAATTGGCATGAACTGTCAGACTATTCACGAACATTATTCCATTAGCTATAGCATAACTAATTCATGGAAATATGTAGATCCAGCACCTATGTGTTATTAAATGGAGCCCAAGGGGTCCTCCTGGTGGTGAAGAGGCACTATGAATAGAATATACCTCCATGATGTCCCTAATTTGCCGTATGAGGAATTTCACAGGACTCTTCTGAGTGGTGGAGATCCCCACTGCACTGAGAAGCAATGCATATCATGAGGGACACTTGTGACCAGATAATGGATGAAGAGGTTTGCTCCCAAAGCAGAACAGAAACCAAAACTATTGGGATCGTGACAAGGGTGGTAGGGAAAAATGTGACACCTAAACTCTTTTTTAGACAGAAGAAAGTGGAGTCCCTCTCCCATCCTTTCTGCCTGGACCACTGCACCGAGAGTAGCCCTGAGTTTCGACATACCGTTTGCCACTTGGCCTTTGATCGTTCTGCTTCAAATTTGGCAACTTCTTTGCGATCATGAAATGACACCAGCAGCTTCCAAATGCACAGGAGGACAACTCCGATGAGAAGAATAGCCAGTGAAACCCCCAACATGATCATAGGAATGTTCGGAGGTTTTGGACAGTCTGTGGAAACAAATGAAATTATAAGAAGAAGCAGCTGGCACTATCAATGTTTTGATGTAGAAAAGCTTTGTTGTGGTTGTTGTTGTGATGGGGATTGAACTCAGGGCCTTGAACACTTGAACATACTAGGCAATCACTCTACCACTGAGCTCAGTTCCCAAATCATGGAAAGACATTTTTCACTGGGTTTTCCTTTCATACATTTCTTACAATAGAGGGTAAATATTGACACCTTTTTGGTCTTGCTGAAATTTTAAAAAGCAAGTTATTTGTTGAAGGATAACTCTCTATTTCTTTAAAGAAGAGCAAAAGACAAAAGGAAGTGTTTGGTCATTCAAAGTAAATAAATATAAAGTGTTTGTGTGTGTGTGTGTGTGTGTGTGTGTGTGTGTGTGTGTGGTGCTGGGGATTGAATCCAGAGCCTTGTGCATGCGAGACAAGCACTCTACCAACTGAGCTATATCCCCAGCCCCAGTATACAGTTTTTTATGCTCTTGGATTCTGCATGTTCAAGATTCAACCAACTATGGATTGAAAATATTGGGGAAAAAATGTGTCTGTTTTGAACATAAAAGGGCTTTTCTTCCTTGCTACTGTTCCCTAAGCATTGTAACAAAAAAAAAAATGGGTAGAATTTACATTGTATTAGGTACTATAAGTAATCAAGGATGATTTAAAGCATATGGGAAGATGTGCTTAGGTTATATGCAAATATATATCCCATTTTACATAAGAGGGCTTACACACCTGCAGATTTTGGTATCTGCAGGGGATCTGGAACCAATCACCTTGCTGGTACCGAGGAGGACCATATACTTGATGGCTGACTTGAAAAGAGCTAATTAGAATCCAGAAGAGTGACAATTAATGCACATAGAATATTTCAAGCACCATGAAGAAGAAACTATAGCCTTAATCACTAAAGATGGTCTCTTCTGAGTACATGAAAAAGTAGAAATGGAGTGTGTGTGTGTGTGTGTGTGTGTGTGTGTAATGCTTGCAGACACCTTTTCATCGATCTTCCTGAATTAAGAGCAGTCTAGGAGATCATATTATAAAATTATATAAAACCTATCCCCTGAAAGGTTACTATTTGCCGTGGCTTCCTTTTGTTGTTGTTTGGTTGTGTTTCTAAAGTAATGCTCTGCTTTCCTGGAAAGTTTCTGGCCTACAGTGGGGAGGGTTGGGTTTGATTCCCATCTGATGAACAGCAGCTGTGAGAATCAAATCATGTCCTTCGACCTCATCTGTAAAACAAAGCTCACTGTTCCCTCAACTTTCCTGATGATGGTAATAAGCTGAGGTGCTCATGTTTATTAAACCTACAACTTCCTAGGCTCTTTGCCTGAGATTCTGATTCAATGGGTCTTGGATGAGGCCACAGACTTTTTTTTTTTTTTTATTAAGGGTGTTCCTAATGATTCTTATCCTCAGGGAAGTTAGAGAAATTAGATGTTCTGTATGGTCCTCTCAACTTGAAGAGTTCATGAAATGTTATTTTGACTCTATTGAGAGTATTAATATAATTTTGCAATTATCCAGTACCTCCCTTCATTGACAGCAAAATGACTAATCATCCTTGCACTATGCCTAGGAGATGATACATTTCTTAATGAAATGTTATAATTAAGCTCTCCTTTTGCTTTCATGGAAAAAATACCATATAAAAATGATCATTAAATATCTGCAACCCTCTGCAAGAAGAGAGGCAAAATCCATGGTATCTGGGGGAGGAAGCTATTCATGCTTAGTTTATCCTAACTCTTATTGCTCTTTGATAAGGAGAGTTATACACATAGAGGAGAGTTATATATATAGCCATGCTGCTTTTCAGGTGGGCTCTATAACTGATCTGAATCAAAAGGGGCCTAATGATGCATGCCTGGCCTTTTGTTCTTTGTAGAAACCACATAAGAAGATAGGGAAGAAATAACAAAAGTTGCTAATGACATAGCTACTACAGAACAAAGATCTAAAGACCCTGTTCTGGCCTCTAATAGGTTAGCTCAGTTCCTGAAAAGAAAGCAAAAGGGCTTATGTCAATGAAAAATATAACCCATATTGCTATAGTTTGGTTAAGAAATGGGTTAGAGTGGGGCATTGCGCATTGCCTCTCAAAGCAGGATGAAGCTTGCTAAGACAGAAAGTGAATTAGGAGGACTCCCCAGAAGGGAATAAAGTGGGAAGAGGAATGGCTTAGCAGAGATAATTATTTTAAGAACTTAAATCCACTGGGCACTGTGTATTTCTCAAAGATTTTGGTTCAAGTATCAAAGCAAATATTACAGAGCAGAGATCTTCACTTTTTATACTTTCTTTGACATTTCTTTTGATACTCAGACTGAAGTTAGATTTCTGGGTGGGAGTGAGAGTCACCTTCATCACTGTGTGATGTTTCCTATAGAGTCCAGGTCGATGTTGCACCTAATTCTAGGGTGCTGAGTGTTCAATGCTGCTGCTTGGTCTAATCTGGTAACACATGTGACTATTGAGCACTCGGAATACGGCTTTTCCAAGTTAAGTTGTGCTATTGGTGTAAAATAAACACTGATTTTGAACACATACTCTGAAAACATGTAAAATTTCTCATTAATAATTTTTATATTGATTTCATGTTGAAGTGCTAAGTATTTGAATTAAAGCAAAATTTATTTCATGTGTCTTTTACTTTTTCATGTGGTTACTGAAATTTTTAAAATTATATATATGGTTCTGAAAACAATTCAGTTGGATATGCTGATCTAACATTTTTTGTGATTCACATGTTTGTTATGATCATGCAGCCAGTGGGAGGCAGTATAGTACAGTGGTTAAGAGCACGGGCTCCAAGCCAAACAGTTGGAACTCCTCAACCAGCTCTGGTGCTTAATTAGTGCAAGATGCAGCAAATTACTTATGTCTCTATGCCTCAGTTTCCTTGCCTATACAACAAAAGTACCTGCCTTGTGCGGTGAATGTAGTTTACATATATTAAGTGAATTAATACATGTAAAATATATGGAATGACAGCTTGCATTTGGTATTGGTAAGGGCTCCATAAGCTAGAGTTGCTCTTATATTACTAGTAGTAGTACTGATGTTATAGCAAATGCAGTCTTCTCCCTTTTCTTCCTCTAAACCACAAGGATCTGGATCCTCCACGCTGGAACCTACAGGTTCAACATCAGCAGTAGTTGGCACCTTCTAGCCAGGAAAGCTCTTCCACTCTCATTCCTTGACTGTGATGTGCTTTTAGGCTCTGAAAATTTCTACAGAGGTAAGAAGATGAAGAAGTTCTGCCTGTGTCCACAAAAGCCCTGGCTTCACTGGCTTCTTTTTCCCATTTGCTTGGAGGATGTGGGAAGCATTAACCTCCCTTCCCCTTCCTAGGTGCTCATTTTGTCTCTTTTCTATCCAGACTTCCAATTGTCCTTCCAGATTTCCAGGTCTGAAAGCTGTGGGAGGGGAGGGACTTCTGATTTCCGGGGTGGGCTCTGCCCTCAGGGCATCTGTAAGCACTAGGCCTACCCAGGAAATAGGGCATGTGTGAAGGAAGAGGCATCATTAGAGCCATCAGGGGACTCGTGTGACGCCTCAGGGAGGTAATTTTTCCCCTTCACTTTCCCCACTACAAAAGCACAGAGATAAATACAATACTATAATAAAATGCATCAGGGCATCTGTGTGTGCTCTGAAGGATGGCGTGTTGATGTGCCACTCATATTGTGTGGAAGAATAAAAGAATAGCCGACAGTTTTGTAATGAGGAAGCATTTATCAGCTGAAGGCATGTTTCTCTCTCTCTCTCTCTCTCTCTCTCACACACACACACACACACACACGCACAACACATCAAACCAGTAAGATACAAAACCTTTGAATTAAAAACAGGGTCAGGGCCTGTTCTGGAAATTTATTTTTTGGGATGTGTGTTTCCAATAGAATTTATATCACACAGGATGGCTTTGATTTCAAGATAACCGCAAAAGCCACTGTCACAGTCACAAATAGAAGGTTAGGGGTGTAATTGGAGAATTTGACTTTATGAAATAGATAATGAGGAAGCAGGGTTTTTGTATTAGAAAGTAATTCATCCTTGTTTAGCGGGATTCACCTTAAGTTTACTTAACTGAACGATGCAAGCTGCATGTTGTGTATGCATTTCAAGGAAGGTGATTTACACGGGATTTTTCAAGAGCAAGTCTCCAGGAGCATTCTGCCTACCTGAGCTTCAAAATCAAGTTCACACTCATCCTCTCAAATGGTGATGACTTCTCTGTCTCCCTTTCCCTCAGCACAGCAATGTAGTATTTTTCTGATCATGTTTTCTTGATCGCATTATGATGTGTTGAAATTGCTTTCTGGTTATGATTGTATTGTTTTGGTTATTATGCTCTTAAGTGATACCAATTTGACCTTGGTTTCACATTTAGGACTAACTTAAATTCTGTCAGCACATTGAAGAGCAAGCACAGACAGCAAATGAACCTCTGTCTTATTGCCTGGCCTGCTGCTGAGACCTGAACCAGAACTCAGGCTCTGAGATTTTTTTGTGGGGAAGAAGAGGTTGTGGACAAAGTCTGATGAGGTCTGATTTAATGCAGCTGTCATTTGTGCTGGAAAGATTTAGGGAGGGACACATTATTAATTGAAGAAAGAAAATGAGGCACCTGTGAGGATCTGAGAATGCAGCCAGGGGGTTTAGGGCAGTTGCTCACAGAGACAGCTCAGGACCAGCTGTGTTAGGGTCATGTTGTAAAAATACAGCATCCTGAGCCACACACATGGAGCCTGCTGATATAGCCTTTTTTTTTTTTTTTAAACAAGCCTGCAGGTGAGTCTAGTACAAATGAAACTTTGGGAACAGTACCTTCTCCACTGCTTCCTTCTCTAACTAATATAAGCTTGGCTCTTCCCTTTGCTAAATGTGAATTTTCAAGTGTCCCCCAAGTCCCAAACTGACTCCATGAGGTGATGTGGATGAAATTCCACAGAAGCAATGGACTCTTTGGCACCCTTTATGGGTCACTTCTTTCCTTATTTGCTGCTTCTTGTCCTTGTTGATTCCGCATTATCATTCAGTGACTCATAGCTGTAAGTTAGATATTGCCACATGTTTTACATGCAATCCTCGACTTGGCTCTTAGAATAAAGTACTATTATTTTATAGATGAGGAAATAGAGACTGGGGCAAGTATCTTTCAGAATGTTGAGCAACTAATTAAATGGTAGCAGGATTTGAACCATGGTCTGATTCAATCCATTTAAAATCCGATAGATTCTTCCCTGTTAGCTTTTCCAAAAGATAGACCTTTTGCTTATATTTCATTTCATCAGTTTACCTTTCTACCATTCAGCAGTCAGCTTTCAGGGAGATGATGATTGGTGTAAATACAAGTCATTGTGTTATCTGGTTTTCATAAAAGATACTGGAACACGACAAACCTTTTAATAGGTGTCTTTCATTCTTTGGGAAAGTAGAGACACTTCATCTAAAATTGAATGTTTTTCCTGGCAAACCGCCTAAAGTGACCTTCTGGACATTTCCCCCCATGTAGAATATCACTTACCATTGACAATGGGGTGCAAGCCACTCACCTTTTTCGTTGATGCCGTGAATGATGGTTTTCCCCTCATTATCTGTAGTTATTAGGAATGTAATAAGACATTCATTTTCTCCTTGCAGAGAGCAGGAAACAGAACTATCCTTTGAGAAATCTGCAGATAAAGAAGTCATTCATTAGGTTAAATGAGATTCCAAAGAGATTATTTATAAAGCAAAATAGTATTGAGTTTTAATATGCAAATGAGGATTTTCAATATTGCAGAATGAAAACTGAAAAGGCACAGGATTTTTTCCCACCAAGGGAGATTTTCATTTTTATTCATGTTCCACAAGAACAGCTCCAGATGTGGTCAATCAGGACTGACCATCAAATGTACCTATCAAACTGACACAGGCAGGATTTCAATGGAGTGAAAGAACTGCAAGGCAGGTGCCCACAGCTGTCTTGGGAATAGAATGGCCCTGATTATGGTAATGAGGGGGCTATATGTTCCTCTTTGCTGAGAGCATCTGGGAGGATGTCTAGATTACATTGGTGCACAGTCCAAATGGATACTGATACTTTTAAGGGGGCCTTCCTCACAATGGTGTAGTCAAGCTTACTGGCCAAGTATTGTCACAACAGTAAAAATAAATTAATATTAGGAAACAGAGACTGCAGTGTTAGGTAGCTCAGGGTCCAACAGGATAAAGGTAAACTAAAGATTTAAAGGAACCCAGAATGACAGTATATTGTATCACAACAGAAATTGAAAATAAAGTAAAAGGCTAATCTTCAATCTGTTTATTACAAAAATTTTAGTGGTTCAGCTCCTCTGCCAAGATGTAGCCTTTTCTGAATTAAAAATAAAGCAAAAACAACAACAACAAACCCTAAAGTTGCCTTGTAGTTACCCTACCTTCTAAATCGGAGACTTTTCAATGATACTATTACAAATACTGTTTTTCAGAAACCTTAAGTAGAATGAGCATTTGCTCTTAACCCAAACTTCTGGGACATATGGTTAGATATTAGTGTGTTTGACACAATGGGTCAGAATATTAAAATTGAGACTACTCCAAATAATCTTGGACACATTTATAACTTCTCTCATTAGCTTAAAAACAACGAGGTGTTAATGAAATAGAATCTGCCTATGTTTCCCTGCTCCTTACAAAGAAAAATAATAGCCCATTGGGGTACAAAAGTGCTACAGCTATGGAAAGATAGAAATATAGGTCATTGTTTGTTGTCTTCCCATGTAATTTGTAAGATAAGAACCTGGCAAAGTCTGTGAGAAGTGTGCCTTGTATTATTCATGAAAACAGGACTGGTAAACATTTAGCATTATAATTAAGATTTTAGACAAGAGATTGAAGAGAATAAACTATTTTTAAATTCATTGAAAACATTATTTACATAGGAATATGAAGAAATCTAATTACAAGCCATTGTAGCTTGGTCATTTCCAAATGTTTATGACTGTCTAAATCACCTGGGGTTTTTGAAAAGATGGATTCTGAGGACTTGCCCCCCGGGTGGGGGGTATGCACAGGGCTGCATGTGAAGGGCTGGTATACACATGGGCACTTGGACTTTGAGTGTGTGGTTTAATAAGCAGCTTAATGAGATGATTCTGATTAGAAGGTTTGGGAACCTCTGGGCAACATGTGATTAGTGAAATCTGTGTTTGACTGCAAATGACACTGCATATACAATTCATACTTCGATCACTTTGAGGGTCTTCACCCACAGCTGCCTACCTCATCCCTCCAATCACCTGGGATTCCTAAAGTCTCCAGGAACGTGTTTTTTCTTAGTGCCATGTTTTCTTCCTTCCCTCTGTGCCCTGACCGTGCGGGCCGACCCTGCTCCCTTGAATACACTTAATGAAACATTTTTTTCTCAGGTAGGAAATGTGTGGGATGGCTTATCATACCCATTTCAGTAATATTAATCCTGCTTTTTTATTTTCTTTTAAATAGCTGCACTGAAGCACAGGGAGGCTTACTTTCCTTGACCAGGATTACTTCAGTTTTAATGGAACTGCCAGTATGACCTTTGAGTCACAACTCCCATCTTGCTTTAATTACTTCACCACTCCTTTTCCTAACTGTTATGGCTCTAGACGTAGCCTTATTTGTAGTGTTTGGGTATTGAGAAAGTATTATCAAATGTGCAATGAAAGATTTGCATAATTAGCTGTTAAAGTTTTCTTTTGTTGTTCATAAAAAATGGCCCTTTCTTTTTTTACTCTCCTTTGTGAGTGCCCACATGGCTGCTCTCGAATAATACAGTGAAAATGTGATCTCCTGGTGGCCCATGAAATCATTCTCAGAGAAGAAAGAAATGTGAGAATGGGAATGATGAGGTTGGCGCTAGAAGGTCCAGGAAGGATGTGGAAATGGAAACTGTCTGTTCCACTGAGGCAAGACAACCACGTGCTTTAAGCCCTCGGCTTTGGAATCAGTTAGCAATTCTCAGTGGAAACAGTTTCTCAAGGGAAAAAAAATGCGGTTCTGTGGTCAAACATGTTTAGGAATCCCTCCCTTTGTCCCTCCTGGTGATTCACACACATATTTAATTTAATGTGCACAACAACTGTCAAAAGTCTGGCAAAAAAGGGAAAAAATTTAATTTCCCATCTCTAACATTTATACGACCATGGGTGCTTTTCTCCATTGAATGCTTTCAGAACTGGTGTTCCAAGAAACACTCTATGAGTACATGGATATTGGGGTAAATTAACATGACTCAGTAAAAGGAAGAGTGAGATTAAATCACATGTTCTTAGATGTGTCTGCCCAAGTCACTGACAGCACAATTTAGGATCAATTCACACACTTAGTAAAGTTATGCTTATTTTATTTTATTCTCCATGTCCTAGTGGGGGAAAGATGGGTTGCTAAAAGTCCCTGTGAAAGAGCAAATATGATGTGATCCGTTCAAGGAGGTGTGAGCAATAACAAAACTGGTTCATTCAAAACATGGCTTATAAAAAAGGCTCATTGGCAAAGTGGCTCTTAAATTTACAGTCTGACAAATACCTTTTTTTCTCTCAAGTCCATCCAGATTAAATGGTATTAATAATCCAATTATTATTTTCAACCCCCAAGTTGGAAATACCTGAATCCCCCTCTCTCGAAGATAACTGGGCCAAATACACAAAAAGAATAATGTAAATATTCTAAATGTCTTGCGAGACTGGCCTTCCTCTGAAATCCAAGCATTTGACAATCTACTCAGAAAACTGTGTACTTAACATAGTAACGACCCTGTGGAAGCCATTATGATTTACATGTTTCTAAGGCTCTATCCCTTTTTCCTTCAGCACATTTGATTTCCCATGTTGCTAGTGAATTCAGTTCTAGTCATTTGTAGGCATTTTCTGCAATTTTTGCTCATTTCTAAGAGACATCTGGTAAATATTCCCACTGTTTGCTGTGAAATGAACCTAGAAGGAAATGCTGAGACTCAGTACTAGTTACTAATGTGGACAGCCCACAAATGCTGCTTCGCTCAGTGCTTTAATGTATCTTGAGTTTGGTAGTCGTTTAAGGTACACACCATCTTGTCCCATTTACTGCTATTTGGCATGTTTATCTTTGGTCACCAGAAAAGCACTGATGAGGGGTCTTATGAGCACTAATCACATCCCTGCACATAGGATAATTCAACTGTGCAGTCAGAACTCTCAATTTTGAAACAAGGCAAGTAATTTTCAAAAGAATATAAATGTCATTATATTATTCCATTTTGGAAATGGACTAATTTCCGTATTCTAATTCCATCTATTCAAAATACATATCCTACAGTGTCATAAATTATTGTCTTGATTATTTCCCTTCACCTGAGATAGATCTTGGTCACATTGCTATTGCATGCAGAGTAGCAATTCTACCTGAGCAGCATGATAATATGCAGGGTTGTGATGATACAAAACTAAATTCTCCTAGATTGTCCCTTTAGGCAGAATCAGTCATCTTCTTTGTTTTAAAGTCCACAAATTATTTTTTAAAATGGCCTTCCTAGCTAAAATGCAATTGATTGAAATATTTGCCATTATGAAGAATCTTATTATAAGTAACTGTATTTAAAATAACAGATGAAAGCAAGAGTACAATTTGCTTAGCAGTTACAGATGACAGGAACTTCTGAATTTTGGGGGTGGGGAAAAGGAAATTAAGGGTGTACCATGTGTGGGGGAGGGGAAGTGAACGCTTTTGAGAGGAGGAGGAAAAATGGCCATTGACCAGAACCTGCCCAGCATCTGGGAGCTACAATCGGGAAAACTGTTTTACTGTTGCCTTTATCTTATCTTGAAATAAGGCAGTCAGATGATTGAGGACAATTTATGGTTTGGGGGCTTAACATTTGGTCATTTCTTCAATTTTCTTCCTTTCTAGTTTGGAAAATATAGCATTCTGGAATTCTCCACAATGGCATTTGTTAAGCAGAAGTGAAATGCTGACACTCTTAACGATAGAGCTGAAGTCCAATAAAACTGCCATGACTTTAAATTGGGATTTTAAATCCCAAGCCACGGAGTTTTTAGCCTTATAGAATGCACTCACTTTTAAACAAAGAATGGAAGTGATCTAATGCCCTGGTACAAATGGGGTCAGGCCAGAAAGGCTCTTGATTTACAGCGTTTCTGCCTCTGGAGAACCATGCAAAGGAAATGAAAGCCATTTAAGACAAGCAGCACCTTCCTCCTCACTGATAGTTGAGCCCGCTAGTTTGCATTTGTCCACACAATCTTCTTGGGCCTTGGAATCTGCAGACAGGTGGCACTCGATGCAGCTCCTGCAGACAGACAGAATTAACAGAGTTTATCAGTTCATGTTGGTGGAAATAGATGTGTAGCTAGAATATTGCTTTATGCTCTGGTTGTAGATTATGCTACAAGAGTATCTTTCTAATGACACTGGCCTTTTGTCACTTTTGGAAAGATAGTTAGGCAATGTCCAAGAGGATGCTGAATTATTCTGAATTCCACCCAGTAATCAATGTTCCCTGAGCCAGCCCTGATAATTACTGCTATACTCATTTTTCTGTAGCGATTGCTTCTGATTGATATTTGATTTAGCTATATTTTCATTTTACTTTTTCCAGGGAAAGCTTACATTTATAAATATGATTAGAGACTAGGCAAAGTTCTGAATTTAATCTATATCTTAACCAGAATCCCAAGAATGATTCGTGGTCTTCATATATGCCACATATGATTATTTTAATAATTCTCTCTTCTGTTATGCTTTTAAATAAATTCAAGTGTCGATAGGAATATTTTTAAAAGCTTAGGATTAAGCCTGGATCCTCATTAATTCAAGCTTTTTAATAAAAGATTGCATTAATTTACAGAAAAGTGTATTTGCAAGGACATAAGGAAATTAAGCTACCTTAAAGATGTCTAAGGAACAAAGTAAAATTAGATCCTGAATTAATCTTGTGCTGCAAATCATTTTGCAAATAGATGGTGCTTGGAGTAATCCAAAACAACAAAAGTCTTCTCACTGTGGGGATACATGGTGCTGCATCCTTCCCCCTAGACATGGAAATGTGCTTGGCAAGCTCAGCTGAAGCTGCATCTCCTCAACCAAACCTTCCTAACATTAGTCTAGAAAGTTCCCTTGTAGTGGGGGGACTAGAACTCCGCTACAGAAAAACTTAGGAGTGGTAACGTATTTGGAGTGGGGCTATAAATCTTGTTGTGAAGTCGCTTTTGCTCTGCAAGTATATTGCATTTTCCTAGATTACGTATTTATTTGGAGTGGCTTGGTGTGGGTCTGGGGGAGATGGTGGAAGCCCTTAAAGTCTCCTTTGTGCATCTCACTGATGACTGCACCAGCTGGACCGATGCCCCTCCCCGCTGCCAGCACCTTCTATATCCCCTCCTGAAACTGGCAACCCAGACATCACCGTCATTACTTTAAAAACCTCTATCTTGCCCACTGGACTCTCAGCACCTGTGAAGGTAGAAACTATAACTGTTTCAGTCTTTCCTGCATGCCCATGGCTTAACACTATTCTTGGCATACAGTAGGCACTTAATATCTATTTGATAAGCGAACACACACCGGATAAATGGAAGAATAGACTCATCTAACGTAAACATCAAGATCACTCTGATTCCCAAATTGGAACTACTTGAGTATGAATTTCATATCTTCCAAGTCAGATTTAAGATTGAACCATGTTTACAGAGGAGATGAAATAGAAAAATAATGAAAGGAACATCATGAAGGGACACTTTACATTGGATCCTATTCAAATAATTCTGCTCACGCACCCATGCTTTTGGCACTTGTCTTAGTTTTCCAGGGATACTGACAGAGAAGTTTTGACACCTAAATGGTGAGTTATCAATGAGTAAAAAATTTATTTTCTCACTCCATTTTCATTGGATATGCAAATGTCACCATTTTGGGGTATCAGAAGTAGTGACAATAAACCTCTTAAGAAACACCCTAACAGCCTTCTGGGAAACTTGCTTCACTTGACTGACAAATTTTGCCCCAATTCCATGAAGAAGGTAGTTGCTAACCAAAGAAACAGTTTTCTTACTCGAAAATAAGAAAATGTTCTTACCTACAATGACAATGACAAAAAGGTGCCAAAGAGCATGGGCGATAAGAGGCAGAATGGAAAGCTAAGCTCTTCTTTCTCGGCCTCTTTGCCTCCATGATTCTGATGATAGGAAGAATCCCACAAGGTCAGGCTATAAACTTCTAGATAAGAAAGAAGCTTGTCTGTTTCCCCTGAAAAGGTACTGACTGCCTGTGGGTGTCAGCAGGATGCCTCCAGGGCTTTCCTTCTGTGTGGCTGGTATTGTAACTGAGAGGCCATCAGATGTTATCAGTGTGGGACATCAGCTCCACTTCCCCCTGCTGTCTCAGGCAGAAATGTTGACTTTGTGATTCTGGATAATCAGGGCCGAGAAAGCCTCCAGCCAGAGACTGACTGTTGTTCCAGGCTGAGGATCACAGGGGCCCTGTGGGTTTTTGTTTCAATGGATACCTGGAGACCAAACCCGGCAAAGACAATCTGAGGTCCGAGTTGACAAAATATCTTTAGAACTTTGATCGTGAGGAACGTTTTCCACAAAAGGGACTAAAGCAGTAGAGACATTACCGCTTTGAGTTACAGGGGTCACCGCAGGTAGGACATCGTTCACAGGTGGGACCCGAGGCTCCGGGGTTTGTGCAAACACACTTGCCGCAAACGCAGTCCCCGCGCCCGCTGCACAGCACTCCGTCTTCAGAGACACACGAGTCTGTGCTGGTTGTGCAGTTACAGTATTCGCCAGTCCATCCGGTCCTGCACACGCACTCTCCACAGTCGCAGTCTCCGTTATCTGTAAAACACGCATTCGGTTCTCTGCTGCCCATGGTCAAAGCCATCTGTAGGCTTGCAGGGAAGGGCATCTTTTCTCTTTGTCTTTAAATACTAGCAAAAAGACTGAAGAACAAAATGAGAAAAAAAGTGTGTGTGTGTGTGTGTGTGTAAGTGTAGACATTTTATTAATATGTTTTGCTAACTGCATATGCTTATTGATCTGGTCTCCTAACTGACGATCCACTTGATTACCTGATGCTATAGCAGACAGAATTAATAATCCAGACAAACCTATACCAGCTACTTGGTGCACATGAGTACATATGTATATATACTTAATTGTTATTTTGATTTTTTTGCCTCTAATTAATATGACATAAGATGGAGATGCAAGACAGGTTTGAATGAATGCCCACCCCTCTACATCATCAAGCTGATTGATCATGAAAGCCTCACCTAAAAAACAGAGGGAACAAAATCTACTTCCAATGGTTTTGGTAGGATGAGATACAGTGTGAATCTCCTACTTCTGCATTCACCAGTTAGCTGTCCCATGGGCATAGAATGAGAATTGGACAAGTTCAATGTTTATAACAAACTTTGAGCATATACTATGTGCCAAAGGTTATATTACGCCTGAGGATAGAGAATTAAATAAGACAAAGTCACTGAATTTATAATTTAGTGCAGGAGGCAGGCAAATAAATACTACTATTACTAAATACAATACAGTGTGATAAGTCTATGGACAGAGGGCAAAAGTTTCCCAATTAAACTGGAAATTTAGGAAAGTTTCCAAAGGAAGTGATACCTGGACTGAGTTTGGAAGGTAGAAGATTAAAGAAGAGTTTTAGCTACATTTCAGGCAAAGAAAAAGATAGGCAAATGCTGAAAGTGTAGAATCATGTGTGGCTTGCTTAACAACTGTAGCAGTCTCATATGGCAGGAGCCAACGCTGCTTGTAGGATGTGATAGAGCGAAGGATGGAAAGGTCAACAAAATGCCAGAAGTCAGATCATGAGATGGCTGAGCACCACAGTAAGAGCTTTGATCCTGGAAGTTATGAAATTTTAAGAAGGGTAGAGCCCTGAACAGATCGACATGTGTCTAGATATATCCTGCCATCAGTTGAGACTCAAACCAGGGCAGAAAAACCATTTGAGAGGACTTCCATGAACAGAGGCCTGAACAACAATGATAGTGTCAGTGGGAAGAGTGAGAGCTGCTGTGCTCAGGGTAAGGTGCGGAAGTACCAGGAGCAGTGTAAGGAGAACCAGAGAGGAACGGCATCCTCCCCAGGTGACCAGGCTGGCAAGTGATGTGGCTCTCCACTGACCTGGAAGGGAAGCCAGCTCACGGTCACTGCTGTGTCCCAACACCTGGCACATGGAGGTGCTTCATTATGTAATGAATAATTGGATCTAAAGCGGAAGAGGAAAAAGAGCTCTGGGTCTGTTGAGTTTGAGGGGCCTGAAGGACATCCTTAAAGGTGGCTGAATATGAGCCTGAAGTTTGGGGTTGGGCATCCATGAGGGAAAGGCAGTGGACGAGGCCACTGTGAACCAGGTCATCTAGGGAGAGCAGGGAGAGTGAGAAAAGCTCTGGAGAGCATTGACATTTAAAAGGCCATCAGAGGAGAGACTGAGGGAGCAGGAGCAAGGTGGCTGCAGAAGCCTGGGGCAGACACAATTCCAAGGATGAGGCATGCGGAAACCAGCTGTGGACAAACGTCTCAACTAATCTTGCAAGTCCCTTATAGATCTGGCCACATAAAAGTATATGAAATACTCTGAGATGATAAATGTGTTTAAGATAATGGTGTGTGTCCACTCCTTACATTTTGGGGTGCCTGCCACGCCCAGTATACTAAAATAGGCATTTGATGTTCCAAACAAATAACATTTATTTACAAAGTCTCCTAACTGATACTTTCTTCAGAAGTAAAAACTGTGCACTCAGGCATTTTGCCTCACAAGGTTTGATCTTCCAGCAAAACTTAGTATTACCTAAGATGGTGTCTAACAGTGTTTATAACAGTGCCTGGCCCAGCACTAAGCACTACATAAGTGCTAGTTATTAGCGTTATTCCTTAAAACTATCCAGTAGCAAGAACCTGTAAGCAAAAGTATTCATCAGTATTAAAACTCTTATACCTTTACTGAAAAACAAAGTAGATGTAAAAAAAATAAAAATCACAAGCGAAACATGCTTCTACTTGTAAGAGGCACTGCCAAGTTCACTGTGGAGTTAGGGATCCTTGCAAACTTTACTGTTGTAGCTGATTACTTTTCTCTCCTCATGACTGAGCCTAAGGGATTGAGAGTAGGAGAGTCCTCGGCTTAATGCTCTGCCCAGTCAAAATCATACACACAAATATAACCATAAAGGTTTTGAAATTGGGTTCCTGGTGTGTGTGTGTGTGTGTTATATGTTTATACATGCATATATTATATATATACATATATACATGTACAGATACATTATAGATACATATACATACATATATATATACACACACTATATATATACATATTATATATATGGCATTAGAGAAAATACTTCCTGCCATTATTCACTTACAGTTGTTGGTCAATGGCTTTCTAGAAGAATCTAGCTCTCTAAAAAGATCTTGGTGATTTTCTGGATCTTTAGTTATCATCTTGCCTCTATATAAAACTTCTATAGGAAGGTGTTGCTGCTGTAGGAACAGGTACATTCATATTCTATATGTATGTATGTGTGTGTGTGTGTGTGTGTATATATATATATATATAGTATCTGTGTGTATGTTAACTTGTTCTTGCTCTCTCTCTCTCTCTACATATACTAAGGAGGGCACACTCCTATAACAAAAGATGATTTAAAATTTATCTGGATCTATGACATTAAGACATTCCAACTGTATCTCATAACCTATGCAATTCATAATTGAGCCAATTAACTCAAAGCTAAGAATAATTAAGTAATTTGAGCCAATTTAAGTTTCATATGTAAGTGATCTTCAGAATTATAATACTTTTTGATTTCTTCCTTAGCAAAAGGGGAAACTTACATTCACAATGGGGAGAAATTTTGAAATTACAATTTAATCTGAATAATTAATATAATCTATACATATTACAAAATGAAATATGCATTTCCAAATGTTTCAAGAATGCACAAGAGTATTATATATGTAAGAATTACTTAGCAGAAATTTAGAAAACCCATTCTGGAGCAGGAAAAAAGAACCATCACAGCAAAAACAAAGCACTCCTTTCAAATTTAGAAACCTTCCTTTCTGCTGACCTTCCAGAACCATCAGCCTGGTCACTGAAGTTGCTAATTGATATCCAAGCAACCAATTATTTAACGCACCTGTTCATGCAGCAACAACAGTGGCAACACCTTCCTATAGAAGTTTCATATAGAAGCAAGATGATAATTAAAGATTCAGAAAAATCACCAAGATCTTTTTAGAGAGCTAGATTCTTCTGGAAAGCCATTGACAAACAAGTATAAGTGAATAATGGCAGGAAGTATTTTCTCTAATGCCATTTTCCTGTTACTGCTTCCAGTCTCTTAAAAATCAAAATATAAGAGACTAATGGAATTTGGGCAAGAAAAAAAAATCAATGGAGCCCTGTATGCCTGAGTGCTTGCAGATGGACGAAAGAAGTTGCATGAAAAGGAACATTGTGATAATAGCCCTTCAGAAAAGGAGCACATTGCCAAGTGTATTAGTGGTAAAATAAGTGAGATCAGCCCAAGTTGTGAGGCTGGGGCATATATGGTCTGCTTTGAAAATATCATCAGCAGCAACAGCAGCAGCAGTGTCTCCTCAGAGCAGGGATTTTTATCCGTTCTCTAAGCACAGTGCCAGGCACATAGTAGATACTCCAAAACTACTTGGTAAACTTGAAGAATTGTACTTACTTTTTTTTTTGAGGTGGGGATTGTACCAGGGATTGAACTCAGGGGCACTCAGTCACTCAGTCACATCCCCAGCCCTATTTTGTATTTTACTTAGAGACAGGGTCTCACTGAGTTGCTTTTGCTGAGTTGCCTTGCTTTTGCTGAGGCTAGCTTTGAGCTTGCTATCCTCCTGCCTCAGCCTCCTGAGCCGCTGGGATTACAGGTGTGCACCAGAGCACTTGGCTGTATTTACTTTCATTAGACATTTAAAAGAGAAAGTTACTATTCATCTTTTGTGATGTTACTAATCAACAAAATAGCTTCATAGAAACAGTTGTGGCTGAGGATCATAATGTACTCCAGAGGATGAAGGAAATGAACATCGGTGAAATTTTCTGAGCTTAGCTGAAGAAATCATTGTATTTTTCTTTAAAGAGAATTTCTTTAGCAACTGCTGTATCTGATTAAAAAAAAAAAAGTTGCTATTGTCAGATCTTCGTAACTACAACGAACAGAGCAGGTCAACTCTTTTTGCGTTTATTCCCTTTTTCCCTGTATATAAAATAAGATGAAAGGCAGTCAGGGAGCGCAGTGCTGCAGAGCACATGAGCAATTTATGCTGTTTTGGATTCCTTAGATCCAGGACTTTAAGGGTGATGTACAGCTGGTGTTAGTATAGCTATTAGATTATATTACATTTAGCATTTTTTGGAAAGTAATTGTAAATATTTTAAATGTGTATATATATATTTTTTAAAGACTTGTATTAGAAATGCAGTGTGGAATTCTGTCAGATATATTCCTTCTATGATGTGGTGACAGCCTTTGGGTAGCTTCTTTTTGCTTCCAGGTTGTGTCCTGTCTGCATCAAGTGAAGACAGTTTATGGACTTGGAAGCACACCCATAAAATCTGGAAATAAGGGGCTGGGATGTAGCTCAGTGGTGAAGTGCTTGCCTCAAATGCTCAAAGTCCTGGGTTTGACAGTACCCCTGCCCCTTTATCCTGTGCCAAAAAAGGAAAGACAAAAATAAGCTTAGGAAACAAAGTTTCCGAGTTTTTCATTCTGTATTGTGGACAGGGATGAGAGAAAGTGGATTTTCTCAGAAGATCCCATTTGTAGCCATAGCTGCAGCAGAGAAATGAAAGGTAGTGGATTCCTAGGGGTATCAAATGATATTCAGAAAGCTTGGAATTCTCTGTGGCTTCCTTTCTTTCAGGTTTTTTTCCTCCCTGAAAATTGGTCTCTTTTATATGTTCCTAACGCTGTAGTTTGAAAACACAACTTGCCTAGTTTTCTGTAGAGATAATGGCTGTCTGTTTTGAAGAGCCATTTGCTTACATACTGTGAAAAACTCAAGACATTAGAGCTTACATTCAACCGTCAGTTAAGATCCCATTTGTAGTAGAAATTTATATTATTTTAAAATATATTAAGATATTTGTAATTCTTGCCTGCATAGACCATTCTTAAATACATGTGTATAAATATCAGAATGATTTTATAATAGTCAGGCAATGAATTCTTAAACTCTAGTTACTTTACATCTATAAATAATATTAACATGTAAATATTTCTATTTTAAACTTTTCTTCATTTCTTAAGAAATTTTCTATTTTCATCCTTTCCATAGGCTTCTCATTTATGTTCTTACTCATTGTTATTAGACCTATCGCCTAACCTAATACATATCATATAGTAGGTACTCAATAGAAATCTATGGAATGAGTGGAGGCTATGAGAGTCCATTTAGTGTCCTTGTGCTCCTTGTCCTTGGAAGCATGCCCCTTTAGCAGTCTAATTTTTATTTTCGCAAAGCAATAGGCATTTAAGAGTTGGGTCACACCCATCAGCTTGGTCCAGAAAATTCTGGAAGATAATGGAATTCAGATCACCACGCAATTTTGAGGAGCCTGGGTGATAACTACAGATTAGAAAAAGCCAGAAGAAAAATGGGAGAGAAGATTCAATAATCCTAAATCTAAAGATTAAACCACCAAGTTGATCATTAAATATTTATAAACACCCACTATGCCCAGGAAACTTTGAAGGTGGAAAAGATGCAAAGCCCCTTCCTGATATTTGAATAGCAGTGAGATGCCTTTAGATGTGGCCTACCTCCACAGAGCAGCCCTTTGTGTCTCACGCAGGAGAAATTGTCACACTGGCAGTAAGGCCCATAAATGTTTCCATAGGGAGACAAGTGGCAGATGCACTGCCCACAGTAGCAGTCGCCCCTTCCACTGCATGAGGGGTGATCGGGGGCCTCCTTGCAGGAATCTGTGCTCAAGATGTCCTCGCCACACTCGCAGTGAGGGCCCATGTGGCCAGGGTTGCAGGCACACACCCCACACTGGAAGGAGCCGTTTCCATCGTGGCATTTGGAGCTGTTCACTTCCACTTCTTTCTGACAGTCACAGTGGCACTCTGGACTGATGAGTATTTCCAGGGTGTCCCCCAGCCCCACGGGCTTTATGATAATGTGCCTGCTTCTCTCACAGTTGGGTATGCTCACAGTCACATTGAATGAAGCCTGGAAAAGAAAATACCAATTATCTACTTCCTCCGTCCACCAACCTGCAGGAGGTGAAACAAGTCCGTGCGGAAATCAGCTTTGCCAAAAGCGTTTATTAGGAAATCTTTGAAATTCTTGAAAGGAGCCCAGCTCCAGTAAGCTAAGCTAACCTCTGACCCATCTGAATATTTTTTCATACAGCTGAATTGTCCATCTACTTACTATGTCTCCCACCTTCATGTGCAAGCATTTCTTTTGGTGTGGGAAGAGGGTGCCATTGTTACAGACAGCTGTGAAGGACAGGTTGAGTCCTTCAGTGTCTCCTAATACCTCCAGTTCCACCTCAGACCGCAGTTCCTTGAATTAAGACATAAAGGGTTAAATAAGTCACAACAGAAAGTACAACCAGAAGAGGAAACCGAGTCATTAAACTATAAATGAATAAAATTAAATTGGATCTAAAAGAAATTTACCATATAATTAATCAAGCAAGGAAATGACAATCAATATTGAATTTAAGACACCATTAATCATAAGCTATGCTATTATCACATGATAAACTATGATAAAAATAACTCATGTGGTTCTGCACAACCTATGATAGTCATTAGTCTATCAATGCTCCGAAAATAATTCCATCCATTCTGAAGCATTTAGCAAATTCTCCTGCATTGCATAGTTTGGCATATAAAAGACAATTTTTTTTTGCTTGTATCTTGATAATAAAATATAATAACAGTTTCCTTTACTTGTAAGTGCCTTCATTTCTTAGGTCCCATAAAGTAGCTGTGTTTGTCGATTTGTAAGAAATTCAGAATTGCAGCCATTCCTCCAACGAGAAATATTTGCTTCACTGATATCAAATTTACACCCTGCTGCTCTGTTTTGGTACATTTCTGCATACATAATAACTTTCATCTCAATATCAACTCATAGGACAAAGTTTTCAAAGATATTTAAAATGGCAATTAAACTTAGCACTTACATAGCCACAATGCATTCTAGGAGTTGAAGTGACAATGATCACAACTGTCAATAAAACCATGTCATGACTTCCACCTGGCATGCAGTGGTTGTAAGGCACCATGAATTAACAAATCGATCCAAGATTTAGAGGTGGCAAAATGTAGGGGAAACTGCCTTAAAGTCATTATTAGAATTCATTGAGTGCCTATTGTACATTTAATGTAGAGTCAAGTCTAGGATGAGACGGGATTTCTGTTCTCAGAAGCTTATCATTTTACTTTTTCTATTTCTTATAAACTTACAACATCAATGTACATATTTTGAGGGATAAAACCAAATTATTAAAGATAAAAAACAGAATAAAAATAAATTTAAAAATATTATGAATTAAGTTAAACTTCAATTCATCTAAAAGGTTTTGAGTTCATATACTCATTTCATTGATAGCATTTTATAAGCATATTTAGCTTCAAACTTAATTTTGCTAACTTCAGAGTCAGATGACCCTGCCTTCTCCAAATTCTGTTTATTTTGAAATCATCAAGAATTATGACAAAAGTAGCATTGGAGATAGTGGCATAGTGAATCTCCAGGAGCTAAGTGAGAAATAAGGGATATGTCTATAGGTGACATCCATAATGAGGATCAGTAAGTGACATCATCTGACCTAACTGAAGGAAGTCTCAGCATTAATATGATTGAGAATCATTGCAAATTTGACCAGGAATATTTTAGTGTAAATTTCCCAAGGAAAGGGCATACATGTTAATTTGTTTCTTTTATTATTTCATTCATTTGCTGATTGAACATCTCCTAGGAGCCAGGACAACCAAAATAAACCAGTGGATTCCTTCCCAGAGTTTAAATTCCAGTAGAGGAGCTTGTCCTTGGGATCACTGGTATTTCAGGAGCCTTTATTATGTAGTTGGGGAAGGGAGGAAATTAGCACGAGATAGGAAGATGAATATACACCCAGTATTTAAAATTTTAAAAAATATCAATATGGCACCATAAAATACTCAGCTAATGTTTGTAGCCACAAACTATAAACACATCTGCCTCTGCCCTATAAGAAGTCAAACAGATGGATTTTATGTTTTCTCTCAATATAGTCTTTCCTTTTTTTTATAGACTGAAAAAGAAATTCAGTCTGTAGGTCTCTATATTTTAAAGTTTTTTTTTTTTAGAATACATTTAAAAATAACATAGTAGAAAAATAATTTATGCTTTTGTCATGATTGATCACATACTTCATTCACCCTGAATCATAAAGTTCCAATAACTCTAGACCAAGATTGTTTAGTAGAAGAATAATGGATACTTACTGATATTTTGGGGAGAGTAAAATGAGGACACAGATTCAATTCAAATGCTTAATGCCTTGAGTTCAACTACACTGTAACTTATGTGGTGACTTGGGACCATAAAGTGGGATGTAACCTCTGGCAGAGCAAGCAGGGGCATGGATAGACTCGTCAATTGGGAGGGGGAAATATTTTTGACTATTCATTGTTTTCTAATTTGCTTGATTTCTTTGGAGATGTTAGTGGCCAACACTTTGGAAAGTATTGGGTTAAAGAAAACAGAGAATGCTATAATCCAGTGAAGGATTGCTTTGTAATTTTATTTGATTCTACACATTAAAACTTTAATTACTGCATGAGAGGGAGGAAGGTTTTTATAGTGTTTTGTTGATGTGCTTTCCTGTCTGGAAGAATTTCAAGCATGAGCTAATGTGGTGATTAATTTTTGATGTGAGCTAAGAAAACAGAAATTTCTGAGGATCATCAGTGAGAAAAACCCCATCCTCTTAGAATTTAAATGGACACATCTTTATTTTATTCTCTGAGGAAATGAAATATTTGAAAAGGAATTTGTTGCTTCCTTCCCCTTCAAGTGAGTTTCAAAATTGGTGGGGTGATATGGAGGGTTTTTTTTTTTTTTTTTTTTTCAGAAAAATCATTGTGGAGGTTTTTGTTTTTCAAAATGTGTAGCTTCCACCTTCCCTTCAAATTCTTCAAAGTTAGAAACAAAGGAATCTGAGAATGCCTGTTTTTTAAAAATCTTCTCAGATGATCCTGATATGTCATTTAGTTAGGGAACACTGGTTCAGTATATGCTGAGTATTGTATACTCACTAGGGTCATTTATTTGCAATTTTAAAACATCCAAAAATAGGAGAATTTTATTCATTCATTATTATGGAAACGCTGCTTAAAGCAAATGCTGGAGCTTTACTGCTTCCTAAAAATTTACTTTTTCTATGCCCCATCCTAATTTAGAGCTTCATCTACCTCTTTGTGGGTTTCTTTTTTTTTTTTTGACATTAAAGGCAAATAAAGGGGAATGATATTTAGGAACCAAAATAAAGAAGATTTGGCAACTGTCCATGGTTGACTGAGTTAGAAAATGGGGGCAAAGAAGGAAAACAATAACCCTGTAGGTATATATCTCATTTTAAGGGAAGAATTCTGTCCTCAGTACTAACTCACCGTCAAGGCACACACACACACAAACAATTACCTACATACTTGTTAAACCAATGGAAATTTCCCTGGTTCACTAAAGTTGAGAGCCTTGAACGTGGCATGCTGGTGTGCTTTTGGTATTTTGGTGTGTAGCCAAGAGTCTGTATTCTTGCTTGAATTAATGATCTTATCTCATTAAATCCCTGGAGTTGGTTCCCTATGTAACTCCTTCATTCAATGGCAATTTACAAGTAGATTTTTTTTTTTTCTTTTTGGAGACCGAAGAGAGCTTGATTGTATGACTCATGGAGTCTTTCTAGTCAACTTAAAAATTTTGCTGGGAACAGTGCTGCTGTGGGTTATTATGAAAACAACCTCAACTATCTCAACTTTCTGTCCGGGTTTGTGATTTTTCTACCTGCTGCTCCACTTTTCAAATGAAGTAAACCAATTTTAATATTTTGGCTACATTCATACAGAGAGATTTTCTTTGGATCAAGACTCTTATCAACAAATGAGAGTACAGTTCATTGCCTAAAACACATCTGAGTTTGTGAATACTAAAGAAATACAAAACAAGAAGCCAACTTCTTACAAAGTATCATACATACTTCATAAGCTGAGATAATGAGCTGGAGAATGTTTCCAGAGTCCTTCTGAAGCAGTCCCACTGTGGCTCCAGGAATAAGTTTTGCGTAATTCTGTAAACAGCAGTAGCAACAACAACAAAAGTCAGTCAATCTTTTTCTCAGTAATTGACAAGTGATAAGTGTAAGGTTCAGCTCTCAGACTATGATCACCTCTATTTAACTGGCTGGTGAAAACAAACTCCTGATAATAAAGGGGTGTTTCTCCCTAAACTGGAGCCCCTACATGCTGCTGCTTACTGGGCTCCGTGGGAAATGGATTGGCCAGAGTTGCTACTGGGAAACCTAGGGTTTGTGGTTGTCTTTGTCTAGGGCTGTGATTTGTATCACGACAGGAGTCAAGTCTCAAAAAATAATAATAACGTTTATATAATAACTTCCACTCCTATAGCATCTGTTGTCCGAAAAATTTTGAGCATGCATCCAGGAACTTCCTTCTTATTTAGGAACCTTGAGGAAACCAAGGTTTGGCGCACAGAAGGGCAGTGAGGAAGTCAGGTTGCTCTGTAGGTTGAGAGGGCCTAATGAGCAATCCCTTGCTGGAGAATGAGTGAACTTGGATGCTTGCTGTTTACTCTCCCTTTCTTATTGGTAATGAGTGCGCCTTCAGGGATTTAGCACAGCCCTGGGTGGGTTGGAATTGCTCCCTGCCCATCATGATTGAGTGAGTCAACCTAGGTGTAAACCGTCTGAGTTCTGTACTTACCTTCTTCTCCTGAGATGGTTCTACCTGAGGAGGACTCAGACCAGTTCATCAACTCTCTAGGTATTGAACACTGCCGGGGAATGAGGCATTGGGAAGAAGTGAATTTTCCAGAGAGTTGAATAGTATTCCTCTCTTAAGCTTTATGTTCTAAAACTTGGTTACCTTCAAATGAAATGTTTTCTATAGTGTGTGATAACATTCCTCTCTACATGAGCAAAGACTCCCCAGTATGTTGAAGGAATATAGTTATACCTACCAATATGAACTATTGTTCTATAATCACCAAAGGCTTTCAGCATCCATGCAGAAGTCACACCATGTGGGCCCTGACTGCTGTGTTCCTGTTTCTTGTATTTTTCTTTTCTTTCTTTCTTTTGGTACTGGGGATTGAACTCAGGGGCACTTAACCACTGAGCCACATCCCCAGCTCTTTTTTTGTGTGTTTTATTTAGAGATAGGGCTTCACTGAGTTGCTTAGCACCTCACTATTGCTGAAGCTGGTTTTGAACTTGCAATCCTCCTGCCTCAGCCTCCCAAACTGCTGGGATTACAGACGTGCACCACCATACCGAGCTTGTATTTGTTTTTAACTTGTTTCTACCTTCTTGTCTGGCTCTAGCTATCAATGCTGACTCATTTACTGGTGCACTCAACATCTTCTATTAAGTAGCTTAATATGCTGTGCTACATCAACAGATGACAGCACTGTCAGCTGCAGGCTTCTATGTTGCTGTGTGTTGTGAAATCAGATGACTGGGATTAACCAAAACTGTACATAGAAAAGAGTAAATAAGCTTTGAGTGATAGATTGAGGACATCTCCTATGGCTCCAACATAATCTTGATATTCTTATTCCATAGAAGAGTTAAGTAGTTTAGAAAACGCACAGAACTAAATTAGAATCAATAATCATCATAATGATAGTGAAACTGAGTAAATAAATCAGGACAAAGGGAATGAAGGAGAGGAATGTCTGAGACCAGGGTGATGGCAGGACACAAAGGCATGCAGGAGGTCCCAGGCACTTGTTAGAGGTGGTCTTTCTACATGTCGAATGTGTAAAACAACGAGCTTCAGTTTTGATGTATGGGTTTTGTGATGTTCTGTTTATTTCAGCGCTCATGTTTGAAGTTGCTGGAAACCTGAACTCTCTTGAATGTGTCACATGCTACTGTGCTTTGACACCGCATCTTAATACTGAGGGGGCTGCAGTCAGTAAGCCAGGGAATGTACCTCACCTTCATCCTTGCCCCACATCACTGCCTGTTGGCGGAAGGCCCGTTTCTTTTTCCCCGAGTCAGGTAGAACTTATAAAATATAAGGAAGGCATTGCTTCATGGACTTACCTCTTCAAATAAACACATGTCACAAAGGGCCATGAAGCATGAGACCTGTGGTTAACAGTGAATACCTAAATTTAGGAACTTGAATTCCACTCAAGTGGAGCTGGAATGTGGGTAAATTTGACTGATCCCAGAAGAGTAGTCAGCGGGAACCTTTAGAGCTTGACAAAGAAAGGCTTAGACTCTTCTGAAAAGGAATTTCAAGGCTCTTAGCTTTGTATGCAACTGCTATCCTGGTGTCCCCAAGGATGCCACGTCAGGGGTATTTTCGGCAAGCACTAGTTCAAGTGACCTCCAAATTTGAGGTTAACTCTTGGCTAACAAAGCTGAACCTATCCACTTCCTAAAGCATAATTACGATCCTGCGTGTGGTTTGACATTTGGCATTTGGCTATTAGGACAAGTGGTTAACATTAATCGCCTTTGCCGATTGCCACTAGAGCGAGAGTATAAAGGAGTTGGCAGCCAGTAGCAGGAACCAGTGACAACACTGACAATTGTACAGAGGAAAACTATTAATTAATTTCTGGATGCTGATCTCCCCCCAAAGCACTTAAAATAATTAACTAAAAACATGGACCATTTGGCTTTGTGGTCTAACACTGTGAAAAATTATACTTTAAATCTTGCAGTATTATGATTACTGTAAATATCATGTATCAAATGCCTTCCTTTCATTAAAGTCCTAAAGGGCTATTATAAATTGTCATGATTAAACATGCTTAATGTTAGAAAAAGGATGATTTTGCATGCCTGAGTAGGATGAATTACAGCATTGTGATTCTGAAAGATGACGCTTGGATATAGAAATGGTGAATGCTGTAAACACCAGGGTGCATGAGCTGATTAGAAATGCAAACTCCTAGGCTTGGGCTTGAATTCTCTGTTATCTTTCTGAAGATGATCTTAATTATCGATTTCTTCCACTCTTCCCTACTATGGTACCTAGGAGTTCCTGAGTTGCTTTTCTCACTCACTCTTTCTGATTACCTTCGTTTTCTTAACTTTCTTTGTTAAGCCCTATTTTATTGTTCACTCTGTTCCCATCTCAAAAAAAGATTGTCCAACAGTTTACATTTGCTCCCTGAAAATCTCCTTGTCAAGGATGGAGAATGAGTGCACAGAGGGTCATTTTGTGGGTAGGCATCAGAGGCTACAGAGGAGTGCTCTTAAGTTCACATCTGCACATTTGGGCTCCCCTCAGAGACTGTCTCCAAGTTCAGTGCCACTCAGTGTTGGGTCGCCAGAACCAGCTGTCAGGTGTGCACTTTTCTTGGCTAAGGACAGAGGAATGTCACTACTATCACGCTTTATCTTATACTCAGCACTGCTTCAAGCACAGAGCTGTTTATTTTGAATAAACAAGTTTTAATAAATTACCAGTAGTAAAATGTGGCTTATTATAAACTGAGAATTGAGAGAATTTATGATGCTATATAGTCTGCTCACAAATATTTCATCTAATCTTTCAAAGAATTTTTACCCCCCTTGAATCTCTTTGGTCATTGGCTCCTATTTGTTCCTTTTCTCTTTCTAGCTTTAATGGCAGTATAACACACATATATAGTGGGCATGTAAATAAGCAAGTGTAATGACCAAGTTCCTGAAATGGGTCATGAACTGCCCCCTGGAATCCTCTCTTGTACTATCTCCCAGTTATTACTCCTCTGGCTAAAAGGAGAAATAAAAGTCAGAACCACTGAAGCCAAGAGAGGTATCTTCATGGCCTTAATGTTAAAAAAAATGTATTAAATAAGATACAAAAAGCACTACCTATAAAGGAAAAGATTAATAAATAATACTTAAGAGTAAAAATTCCATCTATAGATCCAATGCCATCCCAATCAAAATGCCAGCAAGTTATTCTGTGGATACGAACAAACTGATTGTAAAGTTTATACAGAGAGGCAAAAGGCCCAGAGTAGCCAACTCGATGTTGAAAGAGAAGAACGAAGTTGGAGGACTGATACCTGACTTTAAAACTTATTATAAAGCTACATTAATCAAGTCAGTATGATATTGACAAAAGAACAGGCAGACAGATCAATGGAGCAGAAGAGAGAGACCAGAAATAGACTCTCATAAATACAGTCAGCTGATCTCAAATGAAGAAGAAAGGCAACACAACAAAAACAATCTGTTCAACAAATGTTTCTGGGACAATGGGACAGCCACTTGCAAAAGCAAAAACCTAGACATAGACTAGGCACCTTTCTCAAAAGCACCTCAAAACAAATCACTGATTTAATTAATAAATGCAAAACCATCAGACACACAGAAGATAATGTAGGAGAAAATCTCAATGACCTTGAGTTTGGTGATGACTTTTTGGATACAATACCAAAGGTGCGATCCATGAAAGAATCAATGAGCTAGGCTTAAAAGACAAGACACACACTAGGAGAAGACATTTGTAAAAGATATCTGATAAAGATCTGTTCCCTAAAGTACACACAAAAACCCCTCTTAAAACGCAAAATGAGGCAAAGACCTTACAGACACTTCACCAAAGAAGATATACAGATGACATATAAGCACATGAAAAGATACACTACATGACAAATCATGAGGGAAATACAAATTAAATAACAATGAGATTCTGAGAATGGCCAAAACAGAACACTGACAATACCAAATGTTGGCTAGGATCTGGAACAACAGGAGCTCTCATTTATTGCTGGCAGCAATGCAAAATGGTGGAAGATGCATTGGCAGTTTCTTACAAAACTAAATATATAATATATAAGATCCAGCATTCAGTCTTTGTTATTTACCTAAAGGAGTTGAAAAGTTACATCATCACACAGATATTTATTTATAATTACTCAAACCTGGTAACAACCAAGATATTCTTCATAGGTGAATGGAGAAATAAATTTTGGTACATTTAGACAATAGACTGTTTGTTATTCAGCACTAAAAATAAATGAGCTATCAAGCCCTGAGAAGACATGAAGGAACCTTAAATGTATTTTACTAGATGAAAGAATCCAATCTGAAAAGGC